AGGGTGGAGGGACAGCACAGGAGGGAAAGCCCCCTATGAGGTAGATTGATTCAGTGGCGGGTAATTGGGATGGGTGTGTCGGAGACGGTGCGATTGGCACAGGACAGAGCAGGGGTTAGGGCTGTTGTACATAGGGTCGCTATGAGTCACAAGTGACTCGATGGCACATAACAACAACAACAACAATCCAAAGGTTGGCAATTTGAAGCCACTGGCAGTTCTGTGGGAGAAAGATGTGGCAATGGACTCCCATAAAGATTACAATCTGAAATTCCCACGAGCAGCTCTTCTCTGTCCTGTAGGGTCTCTATGAGTCAGAATCAATATGAGTATTCATATTTTGGTTTTAATAATTAAGGAACTAAATTTCCACCTGTTCCTCTAGCAAAGAAGCTAGTGGGATTAAAACTCCTGCCTCTCCGTTGTTGTAGAACCAACTCATAGCTAACCCACCACTGGGTTTTCAGAGACTGTAAAACATATGAGAGAGAAGTGCTAATCTTTCACATAGCAGCTGGGGGATTTGAACTACCTGCCTTAGGGTTGGCAGCATTATCTCCTTACCCACCAGCCTGGTAGAGCTCAACTTTTCAATTAGAAGACTGCTTTAACCACTACCACCAAGAATTATTTTAATAATAATGTCCGTCTTGCTCATTACTGTCAAATCAGAGCCAACTCATACCTAACCCTCCTACAGATTTTCAGAAGCTATAAATCACTTTGGAGGAGATTGCCTGCCCTTTTCCTGTGGAGCAGTAGTGGATCCAAACCACTTGATATTGGGTTTGACAGCACAACTCCTTTCCCTCTAGGCCACCAGAGCTCTCATCATAATAATGATGACCTTTGATTGAGCTTTGGCCATGTGCCTAGTACATGCTTCATGCAGTCAACAGAATTCTAGTCCAGTCTCTACCCATGAGCCATGTGAGCTCAAACAATTTACTTGTTAAACATACTTCTTTACACATAAAATGACACTGGACAGTCATCTTCTCAGGATATGGAAATAGCAAAGATACAGTTCACATATTCACACAATCTTCCGTCAAGGTAGATAAGATTCAGTAGATACATTCCTAATAAGAGTATTGCATAAAAAGATTCCTAATAATATAAGAGTATTGCATACCAATGTTCCTTAGCTTTCCTTTCTTCTCCACCCCAGCATATTCCATTATTTAACCACCAACCATTTCATAGATGGATGAGCATACTAACCGTCAAAAACAAATTATAGGATGTTTAACTATTACCGCAGAGTAACCACTGGCTCATGGCAATCCCAAGTGTTAGCGGGTAGAACTATTAATGGGATTTTCTTGGCTCAAATTTGGTTATCTTTATATTAAGATAGTCTCTGTGGTTAAGAGTAGAACTTTTAAAGGCTTGAACATTGTTGTTGTTTGTTGTTGTTATATGCCGTTGAGTCGTTTCCGACTCATAGCGACCCTATGCACAACAGCCCTAAACCCTGCTCTATCCTGCGCCAACAGCACTGCCTCTGACACACCCATCCCGATTACCCCAGTCACCAAATCAATTCATCTCATAGAGGGTCTTCCCCTCCTGCGCTGTCCCTCCACCTTCCCAAGCATGATGTCCCTCTCTAAGGACCCGTCCCTCCTGGCAACATGTCCAAAGTATGTCAGACGAAGCCCCAGAATCCTTGCCTCCAAGGAGTAGCTTGGTTTAATCCTCTCCAAGATGAATCTGTTTGTTTTCCTGGCAGTCCATGGGACCTTCAGTACCCTTCTCCAGCACCACAGCTCAAAAGCATCCACTTTCCTTCTGTCCTCCCTAGTCATTGTCCAACTCTCTGATGCATAACAAGCGATTGCAAATACCATGACCTGTATCAGGCGCACCTTAGTCTCCAGGGAGACACTGTTGCTCCTGAGTACCTTTGAGAGGTCCCTAACAGCAGACTTTCCCATCGCGATACGCTTTTTGATTTCCTGACTGCTGGTACCAAGAGTGTTGACTGTGGAGCCGAGCAAACTGAAGCTGTGAACACTCTCAATCTCTTCGTCATCCATCCTGACGCTGCTAATTGGTCCAGTGGCGAGAATCTTTGTCTTCTTGACATTGAGCCTTAGTCCATACTGAAGGCTGCAGTCCTTGACCCTTCGCAGCAAGTGCATGAGGTCCTCCTCAGTTTCAGCAAGCAGGGTTGTGTCACCTGCATAATGGAGATTGTTAATAGATCTTCCACCAATCCTGATGCCACAATTCTCCTCATAGAGCCCAGTCTCTCGGTATGGAGACAGGATGCATCCCTGGCGTACACCCTTCCCAATTTTGAACAATGCAGTGTTACCCTGCTCTGTTCTGACTACTGCCTCTTGGTCCAAGTATAGGTTTTGTATTAGCACAATTAAATGTTCTGGGATTCCCATTCTTCTCAGAGTCAGCCACAGTTGAACATAGTATAGTTTAATACAGATAAATGAGATGAAATCAGTGGAAAAAATGGATGAGCCTAATGAATTTTTACAACAAATTTCTGTAACCAATCCATAGGGAGCTTTGGTGGCTTAGGGGTAAGGAGCTGCACTGTCAACCTAAAGACACACAGTTTGAATCCACCAGTTGCTCCCTGGAAGAAAGATGGGATATCAGCTCCAGTTTACTACCTCTGAAAACCCAATGGTGGGTCAGCTGTGGGTTGGTTTTGACTTGATGATACTCAACCACAGCAACATAGGGCAGGGTTCAGGCCTTGACTCAGTGGCACCCAACAACAATCATTACTATATCTAAGGCAAACAGATAGTTCTTAGGAAAAGTGCAGTCACAATGCTCTTTGGAAGCAAGGATGATCACCTCACGTACTTTGGGCATGTTGCTAAAAGAGACTATTCCTTGGAAAGGAATGTCATTGGAAAGATAGAGGGCCAGCAAAGAAAAGAAGAGCCTCACCAAGATGGACACAGTGATTGCAGCAGTGGGCTGAAGTAAGTCTGAGATGATGAGGATGGTGCAAGATAGGACAGGGTTCAGGTGTATTGTTCATAGGGCGCTATCAGTCGTACTCAACGACACCCTGACAACAGGGATCACTGGTGGCTTAGTGGTAAGGACTTGTGCCACAAACCCAAAGGAATGGAATTTTAATCTGCCAGCTATTCCCGGGGGAAAGGATGAACAATCTCCTCTCATATGATTTACTGCTACTGAAAAACTCTTGGAGGGTCAGCTATGGGCTTGTTGCTACCCCACGGCAAATACCACCAACAACAACCATTATTCATTCACCTTTCCATCTTACTCTGAAATGCACATCTAAATTGCTATTTATATTATCTGTACATAATATTAATTCTGTACATTTTTACTGTTAAAATTGTGTTGTTACAGTGTTAAAAATAAAAATTTTATCAGCTCATGATAAAGGTTCTCATGCCGAGGTCAATGTGAATGTTAAAAAAGTCTTAAAGTCTACCAAACTGAAGATTTTAAGAGGAAAGCGCACATTGTATCCAGAATCATGGACTAATAGAGGCTGTACTTGCCCAATTCTCAATCCTGGTAAGTATTAAGCTTTCCCACTTAAACACTTCCTTGTCTCTACTGATTTGCTGCTTGCCTGACATTCTCTGAATCACAATCTAAATAAACTCAGCAAAGGTGTCTCTCCTCTTTACTATTTAATTCTGAGAGGGACAAAAATGGAATTGCTTGAACTGGTATAAAAAAATTATTTCTCTTCCTTCTGTTCTAGAAAAGTAAAATATGTTAAAATCTAGCAATATGACACCCTCTGTCCTAAAAGTAAAGTCTCAGATTGGTGCCAGGTGCCAGTAGCAGAGTGGACTTTCACGAATTTATCTGTCATAAATACTTTATCTCAAAGTTAGCTCTTATTACAGTGCCCTGGGTAGAGCCTGTTCCCAAAGGAAGTGCAAATGCAAAATTCCATCTGTGCAAATAATGTTGAGTTCATTTTTACTATTGCATGAGAAGCATCTGTTTCTCCTGGACAGAAAACAACACTTGATTTCTCATCATCTTGTTTCTCATTAAATGATCACTCTGGTTTCAAATTAGAAACAGAAGAAATTTTTTTTTAATCTGTAGAATCTTAAAGAAACTCAGGATTCAGGGAACTATTATTGGCATCAAAGTGTGACTGCAGAGATAGAGGCACCACAACCCACGACAAATGTGCTCTTCATACTATGTCATGAGCTGCTTGTTTCTTTGTTTTGCCTGATTAAATCTGAAGACAGGATTGTGGTTTCTGATCATAATTCTACTGGTGTGTTCCATCAAGGCCTGGACTGAAGTAGTAACATTTTCCTCAGAGAGAGTAGGCTTTTGTAAAGAAATCATTTCCCCAGATTTCTCTCATGTTGTTGTCATCTGGGTCTTAATGACACTGATAAAACAAGCACATTGTTTACTTCTGGTGCTGATTCCTTCCAGATATTAACTCTAGGAAACTGCAGTTATAATAATACATCTTTTGTGAACTTTGATTAATAAATTTGAAAGAAGCAAATGGATAATAAGAAAGAGAATAATTTTTCAATAAAATATACCCACCAACCTAAACAATGATAAATCAAGAGAAAATTCTTGATTTGTTCTGATTGACCAGTTTCTCACACTTTTCTACTCCTTTCAATGTTTTATTTATATTAATTTAAATTTTAATAAAGGACAGGATTGTACACCGGTGTGTATTTGTATATATCAAAAGAACAAATTAAGTAAAACCTTGGACTTTGAGCACGGGGAACTCACTCACTTATTGCCGTCAAGTTGCTTCCAACTCCTAGGGACCTTCCATTGGGTTTCCAAGTCTGTAAATCTTAACAGGAGGAAACTGCCCATCTTTCTCCTGTGAAGCCTCTGTGGATTTGAATTACTAGTGGATTGGAACTTCCAGAGACATACAGCTTTATGATTGGCAGTGCAAAATGCTATGAACTGTGCCACTGGGGCTCCTACAGAACACTACTAATCATTTAAAATCTATTTCCAAACGGTGTATGCTTAGAGAACGCTTGTGGTTTAGTGGTAAGGAATTGTGCTGCCAATGCAAAGGTAAGCAGTTCAAATCCACCAACTGCTCCACAAAACAAAGATGGACGGTATCCTCCTGCGCAATCTATAGGCTATGAAAGGCTCTGAAAACCTCCTGGAAGGTCAGCCACAGGTCAGGTCTGACTCAATGGCACACAACAAAAACAATAATAGCATGTGCTTTGTGAATACTCCTGTAATCACTTTTCTACTACCTTAGCAAATGTTTGGGGCTTCCCCCCGCCCATGTCTGCCCAGTTTTTGAGTGAGACATTAAAAACAAAAGCTTTGACTGTCTGAGCCACCCTCCAGGAAGTGAACTATACTTCCTAATCAGGTTTCTGCCAAGGAGTCAAAGAATCAACCGAGTTCATCACAATTGAAAACACAAGCGCAATTATTCAAAGAATTCTTGAAAACATGTTTACTTGCTTTGAAGAAAAGACTGGGACCTGCCAAAGCAAAACCAGACACTCTTTCATTTTACTTTGTTTTTCCATTTTTATAAGTTCAATAGCTAAAGCCGAAAGAAAGTTGATAAGAAAATTCTGAAACTTTACACGCACACTTGCTTTCTTTGCCACTTTTGAAAAGGAGCAATCTAATGGGGCATCCTTACAAATTCATTCACTCTTAACGTTCATAAGTAGGTTCCTTCTTCTCTTAGTTATATACTTCAGAATGCCAAGAATAGAATGAAAGTCTATTTTCTTTTTCTATGAGAGAGCTCTGATGGCCTAGTGGCAAGAAGCTCTGCTGCAATCCCAAAGGTACATGGTTCGAGGCCACCAGGTGCTCTGTGGGAAAAGAATGGGCAGTCTCCTCCCATGAGATTAACTGTCTCTGAAAACCCACCAGAGGGCCGGCTATAGGTTGGTTTGGACTTTATAGTACACAACAACGTCACTGCAAAATAAACTTTATGCCTTCAAACATATGGCCAAGGAGATAGTGTAGAGCAGTGTCTCTACAGCTGCATTAACATTTTGATAGACTGAGATAGGAAAATCAAATTATTTTATTTTATATGGTGTCATACTTTTTTGAAGGGGGAAAGAATAACACCTCAGCACTCATATATTTATGGTTTATAGTTTATATAGTCTTGGTCTGAATGTGGAACAAATAACAGCTGAAATGGAATAAGCATTTCCTAAAAGGCCCTGGTGGTGTGTTACATGTTGGGCTAACGGAAAGGTCAGCAGTTCAAATCCATTGGCCACTCTGCCAGGAGACAGATGGACAGTCTGCTCTTGTAAAGACTTACAGCCTCAAAAATCCAATGGAATGTTGCCATGTGGGTTAATTCCAATCCATAGGAAAAACTATAGGACAAAGTAGAATTGTGTGATAGTTTCTGCGAGCTTAACTATTTATGAAAGCAGAATGCCACATCATTCTTCTACAGGGCAGCTTGTAGGTCCAAACACCCAACCTTGTGGTTAGGAGTGTTTAATCACTGCACCACCAGATATCCTTCAGGATACTATATACTATACTGTACTATACACTATATACTATACTATACTATACTATACTATACTATACTATACTATAGCTACTATATCCTAATTTTGTTCTCTTTTAGGCTTGGAGTACCTTGTAGCAGGACACGAGGATGTAAGAACAGGCAAACTAATTGTGAATATGAAAAGTTTTGTCCAGCACTGGAAACCGTCTCTTGGAAGAAAAGTCATGGACATTTTAAAAAGGGAGTGCAAGTAACAATCAAGGCATATAGCCCATGATGGCACTTCTCCATGTACAAAACCTAACGGAAATGGACTAAAGCATCTTTTGCCTGCAGAACAGCTGGTGGATTGAAACTGGCGACCTTTTGGACAGTAGCCAAACGTTTAACCACTGCACCAGCAGGGATCCTCTGATAGAAAGGAGACCTCAAAAATGTAACTGGAATTTTGTTTTAAGTGCCAAAATGAATAGAATTGTCCAATTCATAGGCTTTGTCTAGTCCAATCTCTCCTGAGCCCATGTTTAAATACAGTTTGGTTTCATAAAGTAAAATAGAAGACCCCATGCTGAAACCTGTTTCTATGGGACTGATTCTGAAATTCATAACTACTAAGAATATTTGAATAGCAGCACGATATTTAGCTTTAATCCATTAAGGGCAATATATTTAATGAGAATTTCTCCCAGCTTCAGATATGTTACTTCCATTTGATGCTACTTAAATTAATTCATAAGATTTTAAGAAATCCCAACCCTAATATCAGGAAAGGTGTTTCTTAAAAAGAGCCTTCTCTTGTTTGTGATGTATGAACTTTGGTTTGTGGGGTGTTACATGGAACCTCTCCACATGTGTGTAGTATTTCCTTGTATAAAGCACTTTACTACCTACCATTTGTGTTGTAAAAGTTTGGAGATTATTGTTAACAGAAAGAAAAGGAGGTGTTAAGAAAAGCTACTGAAACAGAAGCACTGCCATTACATGTGGATGAAAGTGACCATATAAAGGGGTTGTATTATTTAACTGAACACTTGGAGAAACTATGTTTCCAAGAAGCTGCCACCTTAAAGGAAAGTATGTTTGCATGAAGTCTCAACTTCAGGCTAAATGTTAGGATCTTAGAGCCCACAGATATTGAGAATAATAAAGCTAAAATGCAAAACAAAACCAGAAGAGAGACTTTAAGAGAAAGGAATCATAGGTGTAAAAATATACTTGCATAAAATAGAAATGGATTTTTAAATTTTAAAAGGTTCATTTATTTGTGATGCACTTGTATATTCTTCAAAAATTATTATAGGCACAGAACATGTTTTATTTTTGTGTTTAGTATTTAAATCAAAACTGTTTTATTACTGGTCTTTATTAACAGTATGTGGCCCATTGTATATCCAGTTGTTAACACAATGTATGTGATAAATCACCAAATTACAGTTTTCCCATTATCCATTTTCTGTACCCATGCACCACACATAAGCAAGACACACACAGTTTCTTCTCTACTTGAATATACAAAACATGAACCACAGTGCCATAAGATTAACTTCACATACAGAACATGTATTTTCCTGAGGTCCTGTGGACTTGCAAAAAATATATATATATTGCTTTGTAATTTGTTTTTATATTTCATATAATAAATTTGATGTAATAAAGGACGATGATCTGCAGGTTTTGTCTCAATTCCTGATTGGTTCTTTCAGTCATGCTAAAGACTGCCTTCTCTTCATCAGGGACTCAAATCTAATTCCTTAAGTTAGGAAAATAAAATAAGGGTCTGCTACATCTAACCTGCTACACTGGAGTTTTGGAATGGCTTGGAAGCTAGGTCAGATGGGTTTAATTTCTGTACTCTTTGGATAGCAACTATTTCATTAGGTACACTGAAGTTTTTAAATTATATTTACTTTTAAATTTAGAATATGTACAAGTTCATTGTAGAAAATGCAAATAGATACATTAACTGTATTGTAGAAACTGTATTTATATGGATATAATGGGTGGGAAAACACATACTTAAACCATTGTGAGGTAACAATTGTTATCATTTTCACATTTATGCATTTGCATACCTTTCCTAGAATTATTACATGTACTCTTTTTTTTTCTGTAGTGCCTTTTTCCACTAATTTATTTATAAAATTCTAATACAAATTCAAACAAATTCTTTTCATTTCTCTCACCCCTCCTATCCATCAAATTGTACAATCCAATGATAATTTCCGCTTCCCCCTGTCCATCCACATCCCTCTGCTTCCAGCCTCTCCCATCCCTCCTGGATCCTTACACTCATTCTACAATAAGAGTCTTATACAATATCTATCCTTGTGGGACTGAGTTAGTTCACTCAGCATAATGCTCTCCAGTCCCTCCCAAGTTAGGGAATAATTTACAAAGTGATTGCTCCCAAGTGCTGCATAGTATTTCATTGTGTGAATGTACAATAATTTCTCAATCCATTCGTTTGTGGTTGGACATTTGCGCTGTTTCCATGTTCTTGTGATGGTAAATAATGTTGCTATGAACAATGGTATACAAATCTCAATTTGTGCCTCAGTTTTCATATTTTCATAATACTCTCACATGTATTCTTATGATGTTTTTTTAACTTGTAGCATAGCTCTCAATCTTTTTCATATACCTGTCTTCTCTTGGTCTAACAAAGTTATTAGAAAAAGTGCAGGCAGGGTACTGCTTAGAGGCTGCATAGCAAGACTGCATCTCAAATACTTTGGCCATGTTATCAAGAGGGACCAATCCTTAGAAAGGAACATCATTTTAGAGAAGTAGAGTGTCAACAAAGGAGAGGAGATGAATCAGTACAGTTACTGCAGCAGTAGACTTAAGCATAGCAAAGATTGAGAAGATAGCAGAGGCACTAGCATGGTTTCTGTTTGTTTTACATTGAGTTACTTTGAGTCTAAGTTGACTTAACTGCACCTAACATCAATATCTTATCCTGGTAGGTGGAAAGCTATCTGTTGTTGTTTTAGTTGTAGTTTGGCACTGTCAAGTAGACTGCAACTCAGAATAACCCTATGATCAACAGAATGAAACTTATCTAGTTTAACCTCTACTTTTCCCAGCATGGTGTCTCTCTCCAGGGACTGGGCCTCCTAAAAATATGCCCTAAGTCAGTGAGATGAGGTTTCACCATCCTTGCCTCTAAGGAGCACTCTGTTTGTACTTCTTTCAAAATGGATTTGTTTGTTCTTTGGTAATCATAGGATCTTCAATACTCTTCACCAATACCACTATTCAAAGGCTTCAGTTCTTCTTCTCTCATCTTTATTTATTGTCCAAATTGCAGATGCATAAGAAGCAACTGAAAAACACCAGGACTTGGATCAGGAGCACCTTAGTCTTTAAACTGACATCATTGCTCTTTAAAGCTTTGACGAGGTCCTTGACAGCACATTTTCCCAATGCAACACGTCTATTGATTTCTCGATTACTGCTTCTATGTGTGTTGATTGTGGATCCGAATAAAATGAAAAAGTTGACAATTTCAGTGTTTTCTCCATCTGTCATGATGTTGCATATTGGTCTAATGGTGAGGATTTTGTCTTCTTGATGTTGAGAAGGAACCTATAATAACAGTTTTTCTTAAAATATCTGAATAGTATAGCAATATTCGTCCTTTGGAGAGAAAAAAGGAAGGAACTTTTCCTTGTTTATTTTACACGCACATTTATTGCTTGACTTTTAGTGATTGTGTACTGCTTACATTTTCTTTTTAAGAAAATTTGAATGTAATCAACTGTTTCAAAGTATGTGCTTGCAAAATGATAGCTAATTTTTTTCTTTTATATAGTTTACCAAAGTGTTGCCCTCACTACGTCATCCCAGCTCTCTTTGATTAGAATCTCCTTCCTTTGACAATCATAAGAGTCCAAGTGAGGGCTGCAGAGTGGAGTATACTTGGGGTGGGGGTGGGGCGGGGCGGGGGGATTGTGTACCAATGAAGGAGTTTTTCTTTTGCTTTTCAAGGAGAGGAGCGAACTGGGGGTGGGGGTGGGGGGGAGTGGGGGGGGAGAAAAGTACAACAATGAATGAATGGAATTCCAAAATCTCTGTAGATGTTCGTTGAAATTCATCATCATCATCATCATCATAATAATAATAAAAGTAATTTAAAAAGTATATAAAAATTCTAAAAAAAAAATCTTCTTCCTTAGTGGCTCCTTCCTACAACCTTCCCCAAACTAGGTCACACAGCACTTAAATCCCTTCCTTTGTATTTGCAATTTCTTTTTTATTTGCAATTTCTCATGAGTATCATTTGGTTCCATAATGAAGAGGCAGGGAGAGTGGGGGAAGGCGATGTTAAGAAAGGTTTTTGGTTTCCCATTTGTAAAAGTAAACAGAGGAGAGTGTGAGCCCTGCCTCATCATGACCCCATCCCCATTTCCTCGTTCTGCCACATTGCTGCATGCACTTCCTTAGCATCTTTCAAAATAGCCAACTCTCTGCCAGGGCAACAGAGTCAACTAAAACTTCCATCTATGGCTTCAAATAAACCTGAGCACTTAAGTCTCTGTCCCCAGAGCCTTACTCTGTTAACTGTTGAGCTTTATTAGGCAGATTAGTTACATAATCACCACATAAACATCTCTGCAATTTGCCTGAGGTCAACACACACTTTGACCTCTCATTACATCATTCAGTTTGTAGGGAAAAATTCCTAATATTTCACATTTGATGCAATGGAAATTCTCAATAAGAGGATGATCTTTTAATAGTGTCCACTAAGGAGGTCAGATCTGTAGGGATATGGCCATGGGTTCCAGAAAGCAGTATCCATCTGGCTATGCTAAACACAGAGGAAGGCCTATTATGGGTAAACACAGACACTCTGCGTTCCTGCAAGAGAAATTCTTTTTAAAATGATCTGAGACTTATCAAGTCCAAAGGGTGGGAAAAAGGACCTTGAAAATTCCTTGTGCTGCCCCTTTGCCACTCCCCTGGAATGCCTGAGAACAAGGACTGTAAGCTGCTGCCTGGCTGCTGGGGAGTTCTGTCTGAGGCCCCAGCTCTGAATTGCTTTTGTGCTCATTGTTTCAATGATAAGCAGTTCCCTAACCTAACTTTATCAAAGAGCCAAAGTTACTCACAATTTATTTCCCACAGTTTGGAAGGAAAATATTTATGAACAGCCTCAATTTAAGCAACAGAGATTGGTATGATAAAAATGGACTAAGCCAAAGGGTGTGCCTTGCATTACTTTTGGGGATTTTTGTTGTTGTTATTGTTT